GGGCTGCCCGCTCCCGTGGGGATGGACGCGAGCCGAGGAGGATGGGTGCAGAGCCAGCCCGGGGCGGGCGGGGGCGCTTGGGGCGCCTGGCGAGGTGTGGGGTCTCCCGCGTCCGCAGGATCGAGCCTGTCCGTCTCTGGTTCCATCTGTTCTTGGGAGGCTGTGGTCTCCAGGTCCGCGGGAAAGTCGGGGGAGGGGGTGCTCCTGGCTTAGTATCTGTGTGGTTCTGCACGTCCCAGAGTTTCTGGAAACCTCTGCGCCCTTCCCCTCCCCCTCCGTGTATCTGCCTGGGTCTGTGTGTCCCAAGCCTTTTCTCAGCTTCTTGGGGGGGGGGGGGGGGAAGGAGCTCTTGGTTCCCGTCCCTCTGCAGAGAGTAAGCGGGCAGGACGGAGAGCCAGCATGTCGGAGCATTCAGAAAGGCCTTGGGCCATCCCCAAGTCCGGCCTCTCCTTGTACAGATGTGGGGGAGACCGCCGGCCAGCACGGGGCAGGGAATCTCCGAGGCGGGGCTGCGCAGAGCTGGCATCCAGCGGCTGGGATTCCCGGCGAGGGCCGGGAAGTGTGTGTGTGTGTGTGTGTGTGTGTGTGTGTGTGTGTGAGAGAGAGAGAGAGAGAGAGAGAGTGTGTGTGTGTGCAAGAGCGCGTGTGGGTGTGTGTGGGAGTGAGCGCGAGAAGGGAGCAGCCCTGGGAGGGGGCGGACTGTGGCTCACACACTGGACTTACTGTCTTACCATCCCGCCCCTGACCCTGGGGCTCCCTGGAGGCCACTCAGAGCTGTAGCTCCGCCCACCCCGCCTTGCCACGCCCCCTTTGAGCTGGAATCAGGGGGATAAACGCCCCTCCCCACTTCCCCATGTCTTGGCTCCTTGAGATCCCCCCCCAATCGCTCACGCAGGCACACATATGCACACCCACTGCACACATACATACACAGCGGCCCTAGTGAGCACACCATTGACTCACTTTCTCCAGAAGACCCCTTCTATGCCAGCAGCTGGACAGAGAAGTACCAGGGGAGCACATCTCTGGGGGGGGGGGAGGATGGAGGCAAGTGGGTGCTCACACTGATCCAGGGCCTAGTGTGCCTCCCTGGCCGCTGTGCCTGGGCCGCTAGCACCAGTTCTGCCTTCAGACCATGTCCTCAAGCACTATCTGGGAGTGCACCTTGGGCCTGCTTGTCTTTCCTTTCCTCCTTGAGTTCAGGGCTTTCTTCTCTGTTCCTCCATACTGTGGTTCTTCCCATGTTCCTTCACAGCAGCCATCAGGGGCCGGAGGAGCACTGGATGGTCCCTGCCTTTGAAATGCCACCCATTTTCTGTGTCTCTGGTTATTGTGTTGGCAGATTTCTCAACTTCCATCTCTTGGTACCCTTGCTGTGTGACCTCACCAGCCTCAGCTGCTGTTTAGAACAGAGAGCAGGAACCTGGGAACGTGGTGACTTACGTTTGAATCCTGCCACTGTCCTAGAAGCTGGGCCAGGCCTCCTGCCTTTCCAATTCTGTTTTCTTAGTGACAGAACAGGCATCCATGCCCCCCAGTAACACCACCAGGGTTTGCAAGGCTTTGTGGGAGCCTGCTGGCAGAGGGCTGAGCACACTGCCTGGCATGCAGTAAGTGCTCACTAAACAGCAGCTGTTAGATGCATTATGACTTGCTTCATCTTGAATGGGCCAGTGAGTCAATGGGAAAGTTCTGGGCTGTATCCTGTCCAGACAGATGACCCATGTGTCCGTGTGTGCCGGAGGAAGAGGTGGAAGGTGTGAAAAACTTGGGTGTGGCCATCAGGACATATAGGATTTGGTGGGGTCACAGAGGTCTCACTGTCTATGCTGCGCTTGGGAGAAGAGCTGAGCATGGACTGCAGAGGCTGCCTCCCCCCCCCCACACCGTGGGCTCCATGAATATTCAGGACTTGTGTCACCTGGGAAAAGCATCTAGATAGTTGCAGGTTCAGGCCTCTACTCAAGGAGCAGCCGTGCGTGTTGAGCTGGCAGGGGCCAGGAATACCTGGATTCATCCTTGGAGGACTTCGTAGCCAAGACTCCCCTCCTCCCAGCTCCTGTTTGGGCTCCCCTGTCTCTGTGTTCTGTTCTTCCCTGAATTGTGGATCCCTGGGGCCAGAGCCAAGGCCCACGAGGCAGTGGTGAAAACAAGTCTGGAGAACAAAGCCAGAGGCAGCTCAGGCACTCGGCGCTAGGAACAGTAGCCTAAACAGGACTGGGACCAAAGAAAGAAGCGCAGCTTCTTCCCTCCAGAGCCAACTTTCCAGGCCCGGGCTTAGTCAGATGGCTTGCTGGCTCCCAGCTGCATCTCTCGGATCCTGTTGGTGAAAGCTGGGACTTCAGTTTCTGGAAAGTGGAAGTCTTTACAAGTGTCCAATTTCTTCTCCACGGGGGACAGGTCAAATGAGAACTCTTGTTAAGTGGTAGAGGCTTAGCGCAGTGGTGGCTTTGGGCAAGTGACTTCCCTCTGGGCCATAGCTGCCCATCTCTCCAAAGAGGCAGTGGGGCTAGAATCTGATCTCTAGTGATTGGGGGAAGTCTATGTGTCGTTTACCCAGAATCCTGACCAAGATCCCGGGGCATGTGTGGAGAGTAATGAGCTGCAGATTCTTTTCCTCGCAGGTTTTCACGGGTTCCTTTCTTCAGTGAGATGCAGCTAAAGTGCAGATTCGATCCCATTTCCCATGTGTGTCTTCTTTCTTTTGCCCTTTGGGGCTCAGTTACCCTCAAGGGTTCCTGTAATTTATCCCTGTAATTAACTCTCAATTGCTTCACAAAAGTCATCTGGGCATAACCACAGCCAGAACACTGGCCCTGAAAGGCCCTTATGGGGCTTGCCCCTCCCCTCTCCTCTCTCCCTTCTCCTCTCTAGCTCTCTAGCAGCTGGAAGAGATGAGCAGAAGTGACACAGTGCCAGAGAAGCACTCGAAGACTGACGGCTGGTGCCAGGAAAGGGTCAGGGAGAGAGGAAGTTGGAGGGAAAGTGACAGAAAAGAATGATGACCCAGGAACAGAGGGAAGTGGAAGGGGCAGTGAATGGCAAGAGTAACTAACTGCAGGACTTCTCAGAGCCTTAGAGGGATGTAGGTGTGCTGCAGAAAGATGTTGGGAAAAGCTTTCCCCAGGCCTCAGTTTCCTGGAGTATCTTCCTGGTAGGAAATATCAAAAGAGAAGGATGCATGATAAATTGAGGAGGAAGCTCCTACTCTTCTCTGGCCAATTCCACTTTGTCAAATAAAACATAGCTGCCTGTTACAACTTCCCAGAGTCACGAGGCTGCCCTTGGCTTCCTGCAAGACAGCCAAGGCCAGAGGGGCCTGTCCTTCATGCCAGGCAATCTCAGAGTGGCTAGGCACTCAAGTTTTCAGGGACAGCCATGGTGGTGATGCAGAGGTCAGGCCCATGAAGAAGGCTCCGTGCAGCGGCAGCAGATCTGAGAGAGAGGATCGAGGTCCTCCAGGGCCGGCCCTAGAAAAGCCAGAGCAGGGATGCAGGCTTGGAGAATGGGAAAATCCTGTCCAGAGTCCCTGTGATATCTGGTAATACCCATTTGCCCTGCAGAAGTCTGACCGCTCACTCACACACACACACATACACACACCCCCCCCGAATGCCTGCCCAGGGCAAGGGAGACAGGAAAGAAAGGGACAGATGGAGATGGCTTTGCCCTCTGGGATACCCATATGGTGGGGACATAACAAAGGATACAAGGCATCCGTCTTAACGGGTGGTGCCAATTGATTAGCCAAAGGAAAAGGGTCCTTAGCATCCACCACTGCTTCAGCCAGCGTGCCTTCAGCTGCGAGTAATTGCAGACTCAACTCAACATGACTTAAACAATAAGGCCTGAAGAGAGATCAGGTGTAGGGTTGGTTACTTCAGCATCTTTCCAGTCTAATCCAACACCCATGATTTTTCCTTCCTTCTACTCCTCAATGGGACTTGCTACCTCACGTGCATAAAATGGCTGTAGCAACTCCAAGCAGTATGTCCTCCCCCAACAACACGCAGAGGCTAGAAGAAAACCTCTCTGTTCTTTTGAAACACTTCCTCTGGATGCCTGACAGGCATCGCTCACATCTCATTGACCACATTTGAGTCATATATACATGCTTAAATCAGCCACTGGCAAGGCAAACGAAGTTCCCAGAAGTGGCTTTGGCACATCCAACTTTACCCAGGGTCCTGTGAAGCCCTGGATTAGAGAGCACTTTCTCTCTCAGCATTAAGGTCATAATTGCTATTCTCTTTGACAGAAGAGGAAGGAAGGAAGTTCGAGGGATATGAGCTTGTTTTCTAAGGTGCTCTGGGAGCCTGGATAGAACCTGGGTCGCCCTCCACATGGGCTCTGGGGTTCCTTAATGGTGTGACACCAATCTTGGCCTTGCTCTTGGGAAAGGATGCTGGGCCTTTCCCAGCCTCAGGTCTCACCAGCCACCTGGCTTTGCTCTCCCTGTCTGCATCCCAGCCATCTCTGGCTACCTGCTGCCCTCTCTTCTGCTTGCCCGGGGATCAGATGCTCTGGGTGGCTTCAGGTGTCAGTAGTGGCTGCTCCCACAGGAAGATGAAATCAGATCGTTGCCTGTGACCCTCTTGGCAAAAGTCCCCAAGTGGAGCTTTAACTCTTCCTGTCCCAGCCTGTGGAGGCAGCCAGGACCAGCTCCAGAGCACTTTTTGTGGCTGGCATCAGAGTGAGCCCTAAACATGCATGAGCTGACTTAAGCCCCGTGCCTGGTGTTCAGGATAGGGAGGGTCAGCCCGGTTGCAGAGGATGAGCTGGGCTCAGGGAGGCTGTGTGACTCATCTGGGGTCACACAGCTGGGAAGTCCCAGGACTAGATTAGCAGTGGGGCTGCCTGGCTCCCTCCCAATTACCCTAAGCTTGAAGCCAGCTATGGCAGCACCTACCACCTAGGAAGGGGTCTCCTTTCTTCTCTGCCCTGTTAGGACATGATCACGGAAGCAGCCCTGGCCTGCCATCTGTGGGCTGGTGTCTAGGGAAGGGTTTCCCATACAGTCGTGCACATGGGGAGACTTGTGTCCAGGGAGGGGGAGGAGCTGGGTTCTGAGCTTCCTGACCTTGCTTTCCACATCTGTAAGAAGAGGCTGGACTAGTATCCCACGGGCCCTGCTCTGTGGTGGAGGCCATGACTGTAGCTTGAAAGCATCCAGGGGGTAGGGGCTGCTCTAAGGCCCCTTGCCTCCTGCAGTAGAGACAAGTGGAATGAGGGCTGGTCTGCCCTTCCTCCTGCCACTCCCCCACCCCTGCCTCCCTACCCCCCCATGGCCGGATCTGGACGGAAGCTGATGCCCGCTTGTGTCTGTCTCCAGGGGGTTTCTCTTCGCCTGGATCTTGGTCTCGTTTGCCTGTCACCTGGCCTCCACCCAAGGAGCTCCTGAAGGTAATTCTGTCTTCTCTTTGTCCAGGGACAGACAAAGGAGGGCGGAAGGAGCCCGAGAACTCAGGTATAGCAGATATCTGTGGCCTGACTTGGAAGTCAGGGTCTCAGTTTTCCCATCAGGAGAATGGAGTCAATTATGGGTACATCCCTTTTGGGGCTTGAAGGGAGCTTTTGCGGGCTCTGAATAGGAACGAGGAAGGACCATTCTGGGCACCTGGGCCAATCTCAGTGCATACTTAGGCTTCGCTGTCCTTATTTGTCCCGTCAGTACTTTGAGAACTGCTTCTAAGGGACATGAAGGCCACACATGTCATAGATCATGGCCTGGGACCCTTCCTGAGAGGTCTTGCTTTCCTGCCTGTCTCTGAGGAGCTGTCCAGGGGACCAGGACAGCCGTAGGCTGGCCTCACAGCTGCCCATGGAAACCCAAACCTCCCCCACATCTGTTTGTCAAGAGGCCACAATGCCTCTTAAAATAGCCACTCCTCCCCCTCCCCCTTCCTCCACAGCTGCATGCATTCTGGAGCAGGGAACGGGCACTCTGGGTATCCCTGTGGGCTGACCTGGCCCCTGGGCAGGGATTGGGTCCCTGGGAGGGGAGGGCCATACCCGGAAGAGACTTCTGAAGCCTGGCAATATTTTGCACACGTCATATTTTCCAAGCTTGCTGTTTCCCCTGACAAAGTAGGTGAACAGCTGTCCAGAGTCCTGAGTCAGGCATGGGGGTGGGAGAGCAGAGCTGTACCCGGCCAGGTTTATGTAATAAAGGGATCTCACTGTGGCCAGCTGGCCTGGCCTTCACATCTTGGTGTAAGGCTGAGTTCATTCCCTGTCCCCCAGCTCTGCCCCTCACCAGGACTCTGGATATGTCTCCCCTCTGGTAGTTAGGAACAGGGGGTCCGGGTTCTTACTCCAGTGGTGCCATCAAAGCCACACAACTTGGGTGAAGTTATTGCCTCAAACTGCTCTGCCCAGTGGGCACCAGCAGATCTTCTTGGGGGCACAAGCGAGGAGATGCACACAAGGCATGCTTGTTTGAATTGTTGTTATCAATGACTTGTTCCCTGAGAGATTTGGGTAAGCACAGTCCTTCCCTACTCCCTGGGGCTTGCAGAGCTGAGAGAACTCACAGCAGACCCTGAATCAGAGTGTGGGGTTTTAGCAATAGTCTTCTGGGACCCCTGGAGACTGCCTACTATTCAGCCTTGGAGCCCAACCAGAGAGGGTGAGAAGGGACACTCACCTATCTGCCTGCCGTGGCTCTGGTTCTCCCTGGGCTGCTCTGGCTGGCTACAAACCATGATCCTCTTGAGTAGCTAGGGTATGTGTGAGCCACTGGCGCCTGGCCAGACTCTTTTCTTAAAACAAGTATATTCATTCATGGAATCATGCCAACATACTTCTGAGGTGGCTTCTCTAATAATAGAGGGGGGAAATGAAGCACTCAAGTTTCAGGGTTAAGAAAAGGCAGAGTTGGGACTTGAACCCAGGAAGTCGATGTTTTTAGCCTTCACCTGCAAGGCCATGCAGCTGGACAAGGGGCTGTAGTACAGCTCAGAGGGTGACAATGCCAGCCTGGATGTGTGAGGAGAACCCCGTGGCTAACGGTGTAATGTCCATGTTAACTGTTCACTTCTCTGCCCTTCCCTCCCAGATGTGGACGTCCTCCAGAGGCTGGGCCTCAGCTGGACAAAGGCAGGGGGCAGCCGGAGCCCTGCGCCCCCGGGCGTCATTCCGTTCCAGTCAGGCTTCATCTTCACGCAGCGGGCCCGGCTGCAGGCCCCCACGGCCACTGTCCTTCCTGCTGCCCTGGGCACAAAGCTGGCGCTGGTGCTGAGCCTCTGCTCCCACCGTGTGAACCATGCCTTCCTCTTCGCCGTCCGCAACCGGAGGCATAGGCTGCAGCTGGGTCTGCAGTTCCTCCCAGGCAAGACGGTCGTCCACCTGGGGCCCCGGCGCTCTGTGGCCTTCGACCTCGACGTGCACGACGGGCGCTGGCATCACCTGGCCCTCGAGTTCCGCAGCCGCTCCGTCACCCTGGTGACGGCCTGTGGACGCCGCCGCGTGCCCATCCCGCTGCCTTTCCAGAGGGACCCCACGCTTGACCCCCAGGGCTCCTTCCTCCTGGGGAAGATGAGTCCTCACGCCGTCCAGTTTGAGGGTGCCCTCTGCCAGTTCAGTGTCCACCCCGTGGCGCAGGTCGCTCATAATTACTGTGCCTATTTGAGGCGGCAGTGTGGACGCGCCGATCTGTACCGGCCCCAACTGGGGGCCCCCTTCCCTCCGGACTCTGGCAGTCCCTTTGCCTTCCAGCCTGACTTGGCCTTTCTTGGCCTGGAAAACCTCACCTCTGCCACCCCAGCCCTGGGGACACGACCCACAGGCAGGGTGCCCACAGCAACGGTGGCTCCGGCCACAGCCCTCAGGCCCCTAAGGACTAACCCTGGAGACCCTCCTCAGCATAGTGCTAGGGGAGACCCAGCCTGGACCCCACTGCCGCCTGCAAAGCTGTCCACCAGAAAAGCACCTCCTCCCCTGCCCCCGGCATCTCTGAACAGCGCCACCCAAACTCCTCGTCCTGCTGTTGCCCAGCCACGGCAGAAGATCTCAGCCACCGAGAACCCTAAGCCTTCAGCTCCTTCAGTCATCCCTGCCAAAAGCCCCCATCCTACCCTGAAGACAGCTCCCCCTTCATTCACAAAGTCAGCCCCACCCTCCCAGAAGCCAGTGCGTCCCACCTCCGTCCCGGCTCTTGCCATAGCTTCTGGTGCCCAGGGGAAGCCAACGCAGAGGGGTCCCCAGACACCACGACCTCCACTGCCCAGTGCCCGGCCCCTGCCACCTGCCTCCGGCTCCTCTAAAAAGTCTATTCCCCTAGTAGCCCAAACAGAGGCCAAGCTGACCAGCCGTGCTGGCAAGCCAGTCTCTGCCCGTCCCAGCACCCCCAAACCTCCCCAGCCCACTATTTTGCACCAGTCTCCTGCCCTCAGTTCTGGCTCCACCAGAACCGCTCGGCCACCAGCCACCACCATCGTGTCTCCAACCTCACACACTGGAACTCCCAGAACAGCACCTCCTACCTTTGCTCTTGGTCCAGTCGCCGCTGGAAGCAAGAAGCCCACCGGATTGGAGGCCTCCAAGAAAGCAGGGTCCAAGAGCAGTCCCTGGAATCCTGTTCCCTTCTGGTCTGGGGAAACATTCGGGGATGTCCCACTGAGAGACTTGACCACCAGGCCCAGTCGGCAGACTACTCCAGCTCCAGTTTTGGCTCCAGCGCGAGTTCTGAGCTCCACTTCCTGGCCCACAAACAGCGGCTACTCTTTCTTCCACCTTGCCGGACCCACACCTTTCCCCCTGCTGTTGGGACCTCCAGGACCCAAGGGAGACTGTGGCTTGCCAGTAAGTCTGGTGGGGTCTGGGTGGGTGGGCAGTTTGGAACAAGAGGCTGGGAACTCCTATCATCCTAATTACTTAGGAAGCATAAGTAGGTAGATTGCTGTCCAGGCCAGCCTGGGAGATGAGGGGGGAGGGGAGTGTGAGGGGGTGCAGTGGGGGGGGGAGCAAGACCTTATTTGAAAAAGAATTAATGCAAAAAGAGCTGGGGCATGGCTTAAGTGGTAGAGTGCCTACTTAGCAAGCATGCAGTCCTGAGTTCAAATCCCCCAAGAAGAAGAATAAATAAAAAGAGAGACTGCTGCTGGTAATGGCAAGGGAAAAGGTGCAAACTAGAACCAGGAGCTGGTTGTAGGCCAAGCCTTGACTTGAACCCAGTTCCTGTCACTGGATCCCCTGTCTCTATGATTGCACATTTTGCTGTAGATTCATGAGCTATTGACACCACCGAGGAGTGATAATCCCCACCCTGAAAACAACAACAACAACAACAACAATCCGTGGGCTTTGGTTGGCCCAGGTTCAAGGTCATTTGCTGCTAACCCAACTGCAAAGGCCGAGTGGCTTCAGAAAGGCAATAACAGATTGGCCCTTGTCTTAGAGAAGCAGCCAAGTAGTCTCCAGAACCAGCCCTCCTGCTCCTGACCCGGCCTCAGTAGCCAGCAGCTTGTCTGGGAGCTGCGGACAAAGGTTGCAGAGGACAAGCTGTAGATATGTTTTGCTTGGCACAGGCAACATTCTTTAAAAGAAAATCTAGTTGTTACTGACATTTAAAAATGGTCATTGGGACTTGTAGAACTCACATTTTTTTTTGGAAAATGGGAGATAGGGTGGCCTTTAAGTGGCCCCATCAGATGGGACAGGCTTCCTGTACCCACGGGTTCCCCCTCCTCCCATTTGAGTATTCCAGCACACTGCTTACCTGCCTGGCTGGTATCCATAGGCATTTGATTTGTGTCCCCTAGGAAAGGAGTCCGTGATAAGGAAAGTCAGCGTGGGTGAGAGGAACAAAGAAAGAAGGAAAGAAGAAGAGGGAAAGAGGGAGAAAGGGAAGGAAAGAAGGAAAAAGGGAAGAAGGGAGAGAGGGAGGGAAGATGGGAGGGCAGAAGGAAAGAAACATTCCTGTACAGGACATGGTCTCAAGGTTGATATCTCTGGTTTGCCTCTAGGACTGTCTCTAGGGGCAAGGACCTTCCCACAGCTGGAAGGCAATTCCTCTGGGTGGGGATTGGTGGGATGGAGCTTCCAGAAGGCTCCAGCAGCCTCTGTTCTCTCCTCCTTCAATGGAGATGACCATCATGCAGTGGCCTTTTCCCCCTTCCCTGGAGCTGGGTCTCCCACTGGGCTCTGTGTTTGAGGTTAGGGCTCCCACAATGTGGAGACAGTGGCAGATGCTGGGAATTCCCGAGCCTTACAAACACACTTCCTGAGTTTGAATAATCATAAGGAATAATATTTATTCAGTTCCGTCTCCAAGGGGACGGAGAATCCGCCTTTATTATAACCATATTGGAGGCCTTATGGAAATGCTATGCATTGCTTTACAATTATGTCAACATTCTGCTCAAGTTCCATGTTCTGAAGCTGGCAGCCCTGAGATCCGGGAGCTACCATAGTCCCAAGAAAAGGACAAGGAGCCTTTTTACTTCCCAGACTGCTCAGACTGACCCTGGCCCTAGGTGGCCTTGGTCCTGACAAGCCAGTTTCCCAAACTGTGCTCAGGCCATGAGGCTGAAAGGGGTGAATTGTCACCTTCTGACAGGCCAGAGGAGCCTTGGGCCCAAGCTCAGACCACACAGCAGGCCCTGGCCAAGTAGAGGAAACCAGTCCTCCCTCTCCAGGCTGTTGGCAGCGTAGAGCAAGGCCAAGGCCATGGCCAGGCAAGCAGAACTGAAGCAAGAGCAAGTAGGGTATAAGGACCTGCCTCAGGCATACATATGCCAGAACCATTCTTTCCCTTGGCATTTAGGTCTAGCCTGCCAGTTCCTCCTTGAGCTTCTCCATTAAGAAAATACTGGAGTTGGCTCAGTTAGTTGACCCCTGTAGGGTAGGTTCAACCCTCCTCCTTGGGCAGATGAAGAGACAGAAGACTGTGGCCAGAGAGGACTAGGACAAGCCACACAGCACATAGGAGGCTGAGTTGAAATGTATACTTTAGGCTCACACTCAGTATATCTTGTGTGTCTACTCTGAGACTCGGGGCTGGGAGGTGGGAGATTCCTAGGTGAAGCCACTCTGTCCTTGGCCTCAGAGGGAGAGCTCAATGTAAAAGAATCCTTTGTTTCCATGACTGGTCGAATTGAGGAGCTACTTCCTCCTGCATGGAATCTCTATTGGTTGATTGGGACAGAATGCATGTGCCAGTCCTGCCTCCCCTCCCCCACACCCCCCTGGAGTGTTCTGAGGTGGGTCAGACCAGGGACTTGTTCCAGCATGTTCTTGAAGAGGCTGGGATGCTGCTCGGAGTCCCTAACCTCAAGCTAAGGCCAAAGCTCTTTCTGTCCCTCCAGCCCTGATTGCCAAGGGCAAGAGAGAGGATGGCACCTGTCTACCCAGGCGCTGTCTCTGCCTTATACCCTCATCTGCACCCCAGCTTGGAACCTGGCCCACGTCAAGTAGGAACCAGGAATCTTTGGCTATGTGTAGAATGATGCTGGAAGAGGCGTCTTTGAGCAACGATGGCATGAATACCCATCCTCCTGCTTCCTCCCTTATCTTCCCTGATCTGCTCAGAGCCCAGCAGAGACCCTGTATGACAGACTTGGGTCCACATCCTAGCTCCACCAATCACGCTGGGCTTTACCTACTCTGAGCTGCCATTTCTGTAGACCATCTCTCCTGAAAATTTGCCCAGTTGTGCAGGCAGCCGCTGTAGGAAGGAGGGCTGCGGCGCCATCTCCTCTGCTTATGCAGCAGGATTGTTTTTTGGTGGGAGGAGGGGACTCTTTGCTGGGGCTCTGTCTGTAATAGGTGCTGCAGAAAGGAGCTTGAGAGAGTTCTGGGGCTGGGGCTGCCAGCTTCCATGATCCTCAGGCGGGAGCAGGAGGCTGCCTGTCGGAGGCCAAAACAGCTCGGTGACGCCTGCCAATTGTGGGAGCCACCGTGTGAGCTGATCTGTGGGAGTCCCAGGAGGGGAGTATGGAAAAGCTGAGCCGGGCAGGGAGGCTGTGGCTCACAGAGCCGCACAGAAGCTACACAGAAGCCCTACCCGGGAGGAGGTGAGGCGCCTTCTTATTCACCCACCATCCGGCCTCTGGCATTTGCACACACATGTACCTCTGTTAGCATCACCTTGGGGAGGCTGGCTGAGGCCTAGCCGCAGCAAAGGCTCTGTGACTATCTGTGAAATGATGGAAGAAATCAGATCCTTACAAATACCAGGTTGTTTCTACTCCCACACCAGCCTCCCATGGTTACATAGAACTTGAGAGGTCCTGTGGCTAAGCAAAGCATGTAAGCTTTGATTTGGGATGACCTGGCTGGGAACCAGCCATCCGTTCTTTCTTAGCACAAATGTTGATGGAATACCTGGATACCTGGTGCTGTGTGACCCTTGGCAGATCACTTGACTTCTCCGAGCCTTCATTTGTTTCTGCCCTGGTACATGGGGATATGGTATGACGTACCTATGGCTTCAGTGAGATGATGTAACCAGAATTGGGACCTGGATCTGAGTAGGCTGCCAGGGCTTTGAATGGTGCTAATGGTGGGGTTTGGGTGGGGAAATTGTTGGGGCTCATGGGTGGAGAAAGGAGAATTCAGATGAGAGTGGGTAAGTGTGATGCCACAGGTCTGCTGCAGAGGAGGGATTTAGGGGTGACCTCCTCTACTTTCTCTACTTGCACTCAGCCAGCGTACTTCTGGACTGGCTTTCATTTGCTGGCCCACCTTTGATAATGTCCCTCCCAAAGGATTGCTGGGTACTTCCTGTCCCTTTTGGGGCCCTCAGACTTCCCATGGGGAGAAGTGGAGATCAGAGCTTGAGATCGTCATTGAGATACAGGCATGTGGACAGCTGTCTTGCCCAGCTTTGGCAGGCCCTGGAGGCTCATGCCATGAACAGGACAAAGTCTATGCTGGCCTATGAGCTCCAGCAGGACATAGGGGTGAGGTGGCATCTTAGGAGGAGGCGTTATGGTTTTCTATGTATAATACAGAAGGAACCAGCAGGGGCTGGTGATGCCCAGGGTCCTGGGAATGCAGCAAAGTGTCATCTGTGGCAACCAGACCTGAGGGAAGCAGAAGAAGGGGAGAGGGATGTCTCACACCTGGGATCATAGTAAAGCTCAACAGGGAGGCCCCGGCGAAAAATACTCTGTCCTTTCCCTGCCACCAGCAAGCATCTGCTTGGTGAGGTGCAGGGCCGGGGATGGGAAGCGTGGGGGTGGGGAGGGATGGGGTGAGGGGGCGTCTCCATTAGCCAAACTCCACTGGAAGCCAGAGAGCCGACACGCAGAGTCTGGCACACAGTCTGCAGAACTCATCCCCCAGGGCAAGGGAAGAAGCCAGTGAGTACCTGTTCTGGCAGAAGCTAGGTTCTTGTGTACCCCTTTCAAAGCTGGACACACAGAGGCCCCGAGGCCCAGGTTGCAATACCTTGCCCTGGGCCACGCACAGAACTGGATTCCTATGAATTCCTGTGGGACAGCTCTGTCCCTCAGGCCCTCCCCTAAATGCTCTGCACTGGGTGGCGAGTCTTGGGGATAACTGGAGCTCAGTGGTCACAGGGGATGGCCCTTTCAGGCCTTCTGCTCACCCTCACGAGGCTACAGGCCCAGAGCAGAAGCCTAGAGACCCCGAGGTCATTGCTCAGGCTAGATGGCAGTGAATAGCATCCCCAGGCATGGACTCTGAGCTCGCAGATCCCAGGCCTGTGAAATGTCTCCTCGCTCCCTGACTGGTAGGAAGATGCCAGCCAGAACTTACTTCTTTCTGCAAGACCAGCTGGGCACAAGGGTGGTCTTGTTCTGTGTGAAGGGGTTTCTCTAGGTCTGGCTGCTGGAGGCCAAGACTCTGAGGAGGCAGGGCAGGGGGAAGGCCAGAGGGGTGGCTGGAGTTTCCATCACCATGTGTGCGTGCACCCAAGTCCAGGCCTCCCCTGCCTCCCCAGCCAGGCAGGCCTGCAGCCCCTGCTCCCTGCCCCCTCTGCCCTGCACCCTCTCTGAGGCCCCGTTGTTTGCAGCGTGGAGTGGAAAATCCCACCCCGGCCCGTGAATCATCCCGGAGTCACCACTCAGGCTTCAGGCCTGGAAAGAAACGGCAGCATTTTTCCACTGCATGGAGAACAGGCAGGGGCTTGGCTGCAGGAGGGGGCACAGGGCAGCTGCCCTCCCCTGTGTTAACAAAGTGGGCACTGAGCAGATGGGGGTCAGTCGAGCCTGCACTGAGCTGTACTGAGGTGCCCAGCCCCGAAGCTGATGGAGTGGAGGGACTAAAGAGGCCACAGCTGGGGGTGGGGGGAGGAGGAAGGGTGGGGGACTGGACTGTCACAAGTCAGGCTCCCGGCTGATGTCACCAGGCTGGCCTCTGGGTCTTGACTGGTACTGTAGATGTGGTGGATGACGTCAGATTCCAGCGCAGATGCCCCCATTTCTAGGGTGGGAGAAATGGCAAGAGTGCAGACTTCCCCAGCTCCGTCTGTCCCACATGGGCACCTGCCCCTCCCCTCAGCCCTGTGGCAGGACCTTCTCTGAATAATGTCACTTTTCTTCTACCTAATGACCCTGACCCCAGCTCCCCTAAACCTAGAAAATGCCAGTGTCCAAGTGGTTTGGGGGTGGGGGGTGATCGCTTTGTAGATACCCACAGAAGGAGGACTCCTGAAGCTACACATCTGAAGAGCACTGTGTGGGGGGAAGCTGCCCTGAGAAGGAAAATAAGCCCAGTGGTGTTAGGTTTGAATGTAGTCTCTGCCTCTTGTTAGCTGTGTGATCTTGGGCAAATCCCTTTGCCTCTCTGAGCCATCTCTGGCTTCTTACCCATCAAAAGGGCACAGTAATACATAGCCTTTGCCCAGAGCATTTCCCCTTTAATTCTGAGTCACCTGGGAGAATTGGGTCAAGGGGGGCTTTCTAGGAAATGGGCAGCATGTTCTTTTTCTTCCCCCTCCAACACAGATGTAGAAAGGAGAAGGTGGCTTAAGCTTTGGAGTAGAAAAGTTCCAGGAGCTGCTCCCTAGAAGTAACAGCATTGAGCATTCCCTGTGCCAGGCACCGGCTTAGCGCGTTTACAGATTATCTGCGGCTGGGTGCTATTATTACCCTCATCTGACAGTTATGCCGGCCTGGAGACAGGAAGTAGCTGGCACAGTGCCACTCAACTAGTACACGGGGTGCCCAGCATGAGCCCAAGGCTGCGTTTTACACCATGGCTCCCACCAAAGCCAGCTCGGGAAAAGGGGAGGACACCCTGGCCTCAGCCCCAAACCCACAAGCCAGAACTAGAAATGATCACCCAGCCCTGAGTTCAAGTTCAAGTGTGTGTGCAGGATGGCCAGGGGCAGTCTTGCCTACAGGTTGGCTGTGGGCACAAGACGTGGAGGAGCCTAGAACTTGCCTGAGGCCATGCTGGGGCTCCTCCTGCCCGCCCTGGGGCTCTTGTCCAATATCTGCTCATCTGGATCTCTCCGGTGAATTTTACTTATGGATGAGCGGTCCCGGATGTGTTCATAGGCCAGAACTCCCCGCCGAGGCTGCCCAGCGTGAGATTGGGATTAATTACCAGCCAAAAAGCTCACTGAGTTTTCAACACTGGGTCTAACTCTGGGCAGGAGACCTGGAATCTTTGCTGATCATTACTTGAAACAAATGAATTCCCCAGGCCTCACACATCCTCGAAAGCTGGGCTTCCTTGAAGGCCCTGGGCTCCCGTTTGTCACTTGAGACGCTGGTTAATCCTTTTACTGCTTCTGGGGGTGAAATGAGACAGCGGCTGTTGTATCCATTTTAAAGGGGACTCAGACAGGCGGAAGGGATTGTACAAAACCCCCAGCTCCGACATCGGTAAAATCAGTAGGGAATAATGGTTGGCCTAGGAGCTTAAACTGCCTGGCTGCTTCCTTTCCTGTGTGAAGTGGGGGAGAGATGAGGCTAGATGGGTGTTGGTGAAGTGCCACACTTTGGGATGAGGCCTTTTTCCTGCCAGGAATGGGGGAGCTATCCAATGTGGTTGAGCAAAGGTGCTCCCAGGACAGGTGAAAGAAGAGGCTTCAGAGACTGAGAAAGATCAGCTGTTGGGTTTTGCAAGGCCTAAAAGCCCCCAAAGAGCATGAGTTTCCTCAGAGCAGGGACCTCAGTGGCTTCTGCTCAGCCACAGGGTTTCCATGCTCAGAGCTCTGGATGGGATTGTTGCATGAATGTTGCATGCTGTTTTTTGAGGGGTTTTGGGGGGGAGGGGGAGGGAGGAGTACTGTGTGATGCTGACTTTTTGCTTTCTCCTGTAGGGTCCCCCAGGGTTGCCTGGGTTACCTGGACCTCCTGGTACACGAGGGCCTCGGGTAAGTGAGCTCTTCTGGCGATAGCCGGACCAACAGTTCCGAAGTTCCAGCCAAGTGTTCACTTCCCCGCCCCTTGCTAGCCTCCATTGTTCAGTCAATACATTAGGAACAGGATCCATGTGATGGATGGAGCTTTGCTGATGGACATAGTAGATGGTGGGGGGGGGGAGCCCAGGATGGGGAAGGGGATCCTGAAGACCATCTCCTTGGGTTTGTGGGGGGACTGGTCTCAGCAAAGTTTGATGCGGGTAGTGTTTCTTCCTGGGATTGTTGGGGGGGTTGGACATGTGTCCTGAGGTGGGTTATCCGAGGAGGGAGCTAGATGAGCTGTGATGTCTGTTGTGAGCCAGCTTAACCCTAGTGACAGTGGAGCTGTTAAGTCTCTCCACATACTCAGTCCCATTTGACCCCTCCCCTAACCTGAACCTCTGGAGGCCAAGGTGACCACTGGCACAAGGGATAAGAGACAGACATGGCCAGGATGGAAACCCAGGCTCTTATACAAATAAATGCAGGGGCCCTGGGGAGGTCTGTGTTGGGGGTGACGGGGAACACTGGCACCCATGCAAATCCATGCCCAAGCTGAATCAGCCTTTCCCACGCTGGGTGCCTGGCGAGGTGCTGGCAGAGGTGACGGCTTGGGGTGTATTTTTAGCCCTGGGCCCAGTGGATGGTTCTGGTTATGCAATTACTTGGGCTCTTGTTCCTTTCAGATCTGGCCCTATGTTCCCTGGGTCCTGGCTCAGGAATCTGCCATCTGCCCTGCATTTCCTCCTGGCTTCAGAGCCACCAGGAAGCACATGCCCAGAGTTGGGGGTGGGGAGGGTGGAACTACACAGGCATCAGAAGGCTTTTAGACACGGGACCTCACAGCCTGGAACAGCATGAAGGCCCCTTGACCTAACAGTGTAGGTCCAGGCATCCTGCCCTTTGCTTTCCAACCTCCCTGAGCCTGCCCAGCCCCTCAGCTGTGCTCTGCCTGGCCTCTGCCTGGTCACTCTGCATGTCCATTCAGGCTATCCCCTGTTCTTATGATCATCCCTCTTTGGAGCTCCTTAGGGACCCTATCTGCCCCTCCCCCCCCCCATGCCTGGGATTGCTGCCTAAAGATTCCCATCACCCACTGGACCTTTTTCACTGGTGACTTCATTCTCTTTCCAGCCATCCCAGGAAACAGGGTCCAGTGGTCTCCTTTTGCAGATGAGAAAACTGAAGCTATGAAAGCTTTATTCAAGGCTACCTTTGAATGAAGTCAGAGTGACTGCCAGAATCGGGATCGGGCCCAGGCAGTCTGGCTTTAAGGCCTCCCATCTTTACCATCTATGGTGTTAATTTTTCTGTCTACCCAACCAAGTCTCTGCTTTCCCCTCCCCCTCCTCAGAGATGTTTGGCAAAGCTTTTGCATCTGGAAGTCAGGAACATTCCACCTAGAAGCTGTGCGATCTTAGGCAAGTCCTTTCTCTCCTCCTGGCCTCAGTCTCCCCAGTCTGGGAACTCCAGGCCCTTCCCATTTCTTCACAGCTCTGGGCAGCTAAGTTTTTCAGCTAGACTTCTAGGCGCACTGTCTGCCCCTCCCCCCCATCCTGTTTCTAGCCTGGAAATTCCATAGATCATTAAATTCCACAGATAATAGAACGTTGCCTGCAATAATCCCAGTACCGATGGACAGATGGCAACTCTGGGGCTCTGGGCTATGCAGGATCTCCTTTGAGGTCATCAAGAGCCATGTGGTCCCGTCCTTTCCCACCTCCACATTCTCCCTTGCCCATCCAGGGACATCGGGGAACCCCTCTCCCTCCCCCAACCAGCTTTCTGGGCTGTGACATTTATAGAATTGTCTGCTTGGCTTGCAGTCAACTATGTCTCGTTTCTCCTCTCTCTCTCTCTCTCTTCTTCAAGGCAGTGGGTGGGGAGGTGTGTGTGTGTGTGTATAGGGAAGCAGGGTGCCACAAGCTGCAGATGGGGTGACTGAGTACTCTGTCACCCCTCTGGAACAGTGTGGGGGGGGAGCACAGGTGGTCACCCTGGGCCTGGCATACCACGTGGCTGGTGGAATGGGTGGGTACTGGTCGTCAGGGTCATCTCTTCAGACACCTGAACTCTGAACCCTGTGTTTAGTCCCCAGCCTGGCTTTCCCCAGACTTCTTAGAGACCCCTAGATCCCAGTTAGTCACAGCACAGATGGGGTTGGGGAAGGATGAGGCTGTATGGATGGGGAGGGGGGAGATGGAGGCTGGGACTCAAAACTGGGACGAGGCCCTGACATCCAAGTTCCATTCACAGGCCAGGAGACTGTGTTTTGGTGGGTTGTTGGGAGGGCCTACGAGGGCAGATGATTTTAGAAGGAGGGTCAGACGTGGTACTTGTACATTCCTTAGGCTGAGGGCACTGCAGACACTGTTCCTTCCCAATACATTTGGAGAAGGGGAGGGTCCCAGTGAGGAGGGAGGTGCCTCGGGCAGGCAGGCAGGGAATGTGACAGGCTACAGCTGGGAAGTTGGCCTTAGACAGGAGAAAGGAAGCAACTGCATACACAGCTGGCCCGTGGAGCCCAGGGGGCTGGGATGAGCCTGTGCAGAGAGGCTGGTGGGAGTGGGGATCAGTGAACCCTTTCAGGTTCCCTGAGGATTGCTGCTGGGCAGAGACCCCCGGGTATGAGCCGTCTCTGAGGGGTTTGTGTTGCTGGGTTAGAAGTTTGCAGCTGGACTCTTGCTGGAGAAAGTGGACATGACAGGAGCCAGCTGTCCAAGGGCATTGGGAGTTGGTAGCCAGTAGCCAGAGGACTCTGCTTTCACTTGGCCACAACTCTGCTATGCAATGGTGGCCATGGCCCCTGGACTCTCTAGGTGCAGCCTCCCAGCTGCTTCATGGTGGTATCTGGAATAGTTAGAGTGTGTCCATCTTAAGGGACAGCTCTGACCATGTGCTGTGACCACAGGACACAGGGGCCACATCCACCCTTCTGTGATTTTTCATCTCTCAAGATGCCTGCAGAAACCAGTGGGAGTTCAAAGGTTGCAGGAGTCCCTTTAGGCTGGAGCAGTTCTAGAAGTTTCCCTGGAGGAGATGGACTTTGAGCCAGGCCTTGAAGAATGAGTCTAGGCTCCTGCTAAAAGGATGATGGAGACAGCATGGGCCAGGTGATGAGGAAAAATAAATAGTTAAGTATGGTGGAAGTCCGGAGAGGCTGGGAAGGACTGATGGGTCAGGCCATACTCTCTGAATGTGGAGTAGAGGTGTAACTCCAAGGCCCAGGCTTTGTCCTGAGATCAGATATATCTGAGGATTGTGCTTCAAACCCAGTCTGGAAATTCTGTGAGACTCATCTCCAATTAACCACCAAAAGCTGGAAGTGTTATCCTTGAACAAAAAAAGCTCAGGCACAGTACACAAGCCCTGAGGTTAACACCCCCCCTCCCCCACCCACCAACCCCTCCTCAAGCAAGCAGGCAAGCAAATCTGCAATCAAAATACCTGTAAGCTCCAGCTTTCTTGTTCCAGGAGTAATGCTGAGCCTCCTCCTTGTAGGTGAATAGGGCAAAAGTAAATAATGTGTGGGATGCGCTCACACAGGTCTAGGCACCCAGGGTCTCCTCAAAGGAGCAGAATAGCTATGGCAGTACTTCTCATGCTCAGGCAGTGCTGTTGGAAGTGCATGACTGTTTCTATTTTCTCTCACTTTTCCTTTTTCCTCTTCAGGGTCCTCCTGGGCCATATGGAAACCCAGGTCTGCCTGGTCCACCTGGAGCCAAAGTGAGTATTGGCTGTGTCATCTGTAGACATGGAGGGGGGGTGGTAAAGTGCTGGAGTCAGGTCACATTTGGGTGTGTTCCCAGGGCATTCTGAGAAGGTGTTTCAGGGTCCCAGAGCTCATTCCTGGTGTCTGGTCCAGTACTGGGACTGGAGGCACAGGGAAGAGTCCCGAGTTTAGCTTCTAGCTGGGAGAGAGGGGGGAGAAGAGCGACTAGGACCTAGAACCCTCAAAGGGGAGCAAGCAGAAAGGCAACTGGATGCTACATGGGGAGGGCTTGAGATGTCACACGAAGGACCTAAGGTTTACCAGTTAGTTGCAAGGCGTGCCCCAGAAGGCATCAGTTGTGCAGACTGGGGTAGGGACCGGGCTGAGGCAGGGGGAGGGGGATGGAGGAGAGGTCAGCTTATAGTCTGGGAGAAGGTGGAAGAGAAAGGGTGGAAACGGGAAGCCCTAGTATTGATCCGAGTGACCGAGGCCAGGAGAAGAACTGGGGTGGTACCACGCCAGGTAGAAGTCACAGGAGCTGGGACGCTCCCCACCTCCCCCAGGGATCCTCCTTTGAATAATACTCATGTTAGCTTTTCCTGAGACCTTCAAGGCTGGGGTCCAGAGGATATAAAAACCCCAGCTGTGGGCTCCTTCATGAGTTCCTGGAGCTCAGCACATGTCAGGGTTTTTGGGCAATTTACAATGAGCAGCTCAGATTCCTAAGAATATCTGGAGTAGCAACAGTTAGGTAAAAGACAAAGAGTTCTCAAGACAGGTATGGTGTGGTAGCTCAAGCCTGTAATCCCAGCTACTTAAGTGGCAAACATCAGAGGATTGTGATTTGAGGCCAGCCTGGGCATGAGACTCCATCTCAACCAATGGCTGGGCACAGTGGTGACTTACCTGTCATCCTTAGTGACAATAGGGAAACTCAAGTAGGAAGATCATAGTGCAGGCTGGCCCAAATGTAAAGTGAGATCCTGTCTTGAAAGTTACCAGTGCAAAAAGGGGCTGGAGACATGAATCAAGTGGTAGAGTGCCTAGCAAGAGTGAGGCCCTGAATTCAGTCTCCCAGGAAAGGCAGAAGAAGTAGGAGGGAGAGAAGATACACTTGGGGAACTTAGGAGAAAGGTGGCTGAAACCCCTGTGGTAGGCAAAGAAGAGCTGAAGGCTCCTAGCTCTGAGGCCTCCAGGCCTTACCCATGCCGCTGTGAGTTAACCAGGTGAAGAACACCTCTGGGCTTTTGTCTAGCTGCAGTCCAAGGCCATTCTTTGTTAGTCCAGCTGCAAAGATCAATGGCTTGAGGGAAGACTTCTGTTAAGCTCCAGGCTGAAAAAAGCAAGCACCCTCCAAAGAGCAGCCCCCACTAGCCAAACAGCATGTCTGTGGACCAAGGTCCTACAGGAACTGTCTTAGATGTAAGGATATATAAGGCTTTGAGCACTTGCACAGAACCTCAAGGGTACCAACCTCAGCACCCATGGGCTGAGACTTTCACCAGACCAAACTGGGACTTTCTTTGAAAAGCAGGCACTGGAATCTTCAGGTGCTCAGTGCCTAGCAGCTGTCTGGGTACCTGGGATGACCTGGGTTTTCTGTGTGTGTGTGTGTGTGTGTGTGTGTGTGTTTGCGCACGCGCGCACGCCAGTAGTGAGGCTTGAACTTAGGGCCTGGGCACTGTCCCTCAGCTTTTTCACCCAAGGCTAATATTCTACTACTTGAGTCACACTTCTACTTCTGGCTTTTTGGTAGTTAGTTGGAGATAAGATCATATGGACTTTTCTTGCCCAGGGTTGGCTTTGAACTGAGATCCTCAGATCTCAGCCTTCTGAGTAGCTAGGATTATAAGTGAGAGCCACCAGCATCTGGCTGCCTGGGTTCTAATAAAGCAAATGCTAATGATAATAACTATGTTGTATTGTGCCCTTGCTGTGTGCAGTAACTGTGTGTGCACTTAACCTGACTTGTCTTCTTTGAGCCCACAAAGACCAAAGACATGATTGCTCTACCTATTTACCAATGGGAAAACTCAGGCAGTGGCAGATTAAGACCTTGTCTAGCAACCTGCCTCAATGGGTCAGGCATGGTGAGGTTCCTTTGGAGATTTCAGTACAGTTTGTGGGTGCCACGGATGCTGATCAGAAGTATCAGGCTTGCCTTTCTTGGCCTGTTCTGGTTGGGCCTGTTCCCGCCTGATCCTCTGCTTCTATAGCAGCATGTGCTCAGGCTGCTCCATCATCTCCTCTCTCTGGCTCTTACTGGCCTTTGAGCACCACTGAGTGGCCCATGACAGAAGATGGGCTGCTTGTCTCTCCAGTTTGGAAAGACTGGATGGGGCACTTAGGCTGGGGTCCTGGCAGTGACCCACGGACCCCTGGACTCAAGTCAGGAATAGGACTTCCATTTGGTTGATTGTGCCCCAAGGCTGTTCTCTATGAACCCCCACTGTGAAGGCCAAGTGACTTAATACAAGCTATTCATCTGTCTGGCCTTAGGCCATGTGGAGGGTGAATGTGTGCATAGTCAGTGTCATGGGAGAGGGTGTGTGTTCTTGAGAATCTGCTGGAAGCAAAGGGCTGCATCTCCCATGGGAAGATGAAGGATTGCTGGTCAGAGGTTGTGCCTGGACACTTCATTCCGAGTGTCAGGATGGCCCCAGGGCTACCAGTCAGGGCAGACCTCTCTGGCTGAAGACACGTTTTCTTGGTTGGCCCTGGGGCTGTCTTGGATTTTTAGGTGGCTTGGCCAGGTTAGGGCTAAAGCAGAGGCTCCCCCTGGATGCATTCAAGGGCATATGAATGTCTGAATCAGTGGGTGGGATCCTGCAGAGAATGTCTTCTTTCACCAGAGACCTTTTGGGCCCAATGGAATTGTAGGACTGGCCTCCCCCAGGCCCTGTGCTGGGCTCTGATCTTCCAGCTCAGTGTTAGCTTGCAGAACTACTTCTGGGACCATCCACCTATTTACTCACCCTTGGCTTATTGAGCACCTACTTGGTGACATGGTGAGGATCTCTGCTATGTAAGTCAGTTGTTGCTCATGACAAAGCTCCCCTACCAGTCTCAAAGGTGGGAGGCAGGTGGGTAGGTGGAGAACATGATAGGGTGAAGAGGAAGGATGAGGGACCTCATCTCACTTCAGGTTGAGGAATGCAAGGTCAAAGGACTGAAGTGACCTACTGGGTTTGCAGCTGGAAGGAGCTTTGTTGGGGCTCTCTGACTGATAAAGGTCAGACCAGGCTTCAATTTGACTTCTGTCTTCCAGAGCCCCCCAGCTGTGCACAGTGTGGCCATGCATGCCGTGTTCAGAGCAGGCAGGAAGGGGGCTTGTCAGCCTCTGGCTGGAGCTGAGGTCAAGGACTATGAAAATGGGGCTGGAAATTCATTTGTCTAGCCACACATGGTTATTTGAAGAAAGCATAGGGGTTAAGAACATGGACTCTGGAGCCTGACGATCCAAGTTCAAATCCTGACTCATTCACCTTGTAGTTCTGTGGCTGTAGGAAAATTATTCCAACTTCCCACAGTGCAGTGATCCAGTAGACTGCCACTTAGCCAGGACTACTGTGGTAGGCAGGGCTGCCCTGGGAAAGGGTCAGCCTGTATTAAATGCAGATTGGCACATTCCCTCTCCCTGAGGAGTGCAGAGGCCAATGAGAAAAGAAAACATGCTAAACACAGCACGACTTCCAGGCTCTAGGAACTCCATGAAAGACATGGCCTGCTCAGAGGCCTCTGAGAAGGGGCTGATGGGATTGATCTGGCCTAGCCAATGAGCGACACCCTCCTGGAAGGTAAGGAGCTGGGGTCTACAGGGTAGTGGGCAGTGGAGCCAAGAGTCAAGGAGAAGAAGGGACAGGAATCAGGCCTGAGAGATTTGGCAGGGGAGGGGGGAGGGGACTTTATCCAAAGAATGCCTGAAAGACACCAAAACTTGGGCAGAGGAGAGGCTGACAGGGGAGGTTTGTGAGGGCCACCTGGCCACCTGGGAAGCAAGACTTGACCAAAGGGGAGGCCTAGAGCTACCCAGTGGGCTTGGAGCTGACTAGGATACAGTCAGGGGGGAGCTGAGGCCTGGGGCAGAGGTGGAGCTAGGGGATCAGAGGTAGGGGAGGGTCTATAAGTCAGGATTGCTGTGGGCAACCGAAAAGAATGGATATGCAGGGCGGAGCTGGCAAGAACTGGGACAGAGACAGTCCTGTGCCCATCTGTCCCCTTCCAGTGATGACAGAGATAAGACAAGCATGGAAAAATCCAGAAGATAATAGTAGCAAAGCCAGTAGGTATTCAAGCTAGTAAGTAGCAAAGCTAGTAGGTAGCAAAGCCGGCATCAGGCCCAATGCTGAGCCACAGAGCAAACGGAACCTCCCACAACTCAGTTCTCAGGTCCTCACCCGCCGAGGCTGCTGTCTGGCCTGCTGCACTTGACATTCAATTTGAGCGCTTCCTGTTATCTTTACTCCCCACATGTGCTTGAACGGCTGCCTGGCATCCCACCAACACCAATATCCACACTTCCTATGGCCAATTTCCTTTCTCTTCAAACTGCTTTTTGCTAATATCTAGTACTATCTCCAAGAGCATTACTGTATGTCACTGTTGGAAGCCACCGTCATTTCATGATCAGATTCATGAATTTGACTTGCCAGCAGGAACTCAGTTGGAATCCTGGCTCTACCTCTTGCTGCTTTGTGTGTCATTGGGCAAATGACTTAAATTCTCTGGGCCTCAGCTTCCACTTGTGCTATCTGAGGATAATAATGTCTTGTTCATACCTTAGAGGATTGTTCTGCTGATTAAGCTGTGTACATGTTTGTATTCATATACTTCTCTCTCTCTCTGTATATATATATATATATATATATATATATATATATATATATATGTATGTATACAGGAAAGCGTCTATGAATAGTTGATGATAACATTCTGCATGGGTGAGAGTCTAATTGTTAGTCTATTAGTTGCTTTCTAGAAAGGTCTACTTCAGCTAGTACGAGAGGTTGCCTGT